ATAGTAGTATTAGATTTACTAGGGAACTTATATAAGACTGTGTATGTAGATCTACTAGAGAGAGCTACTAATAACCTGCTACTAAGCTAGAAGCTTTAAAACTTATAACTAGGTCTAATAGTTACTCTAGAAAATAAAGATATAATACTAGATAAATAGGAAGTAGAAGAGATCCTTTATATAAAGAATATAAGAGGAAAAGGAAAGTATTAAGTCCTAGTAAAATAGAAGGGGTATATTAATCTAATATAGCACCTACTAGAGGTAGTATAGGATACTAAGGCTCTAGATAGGTTTAAGGAATAGTATAGGGATGCTACGTATAATAATAGCCTAATATATATAAAAACTAGGAGGTAAGGGTAAAAGGAAACTAAAATAATAACTTAGACCTTTATTATAATTAAGAAGTAGAAAAGTATTAGAGATATCTTTTATTTATCCTAATAATACTCTAAGTAAGTGCCCTACTACTAAAGTTTTATAATATAGCTAATAATTAGGTAGTAGTATCTATACTATTACTATTTATAACTAACCTCCTCTTAGCCCCCCTTAAACTATTATTTATATTATTCTAATACCTCTATATCTCTTAGTAATAGTAGTAATACTTACGTATAGCGTAGGTAGAGGAAGACTTAGTTAATAAGTATAAGTAGTAGTAGTAGTAGTAGGAGGAGAGTAGTACTTTAATAGCTTACTAACGCGTAGCACCCTAGGCCTAAAGAAAGTAAATATTAGAATAGATATAAAGGGAATAAGGGAAAATTAATACTAATAATAAGAGTCTTAATACTATAGGTAGTGCGCTTAGTAGCACTCTTAAGCTTATTAATATAAAGGTTAGTTTAGGCCTAGGTCTTGTTTATACGCTAGTTAATATACTAGAAGGTAATACTAGTAGTAGTAGTAAGTAATATAACATTATTATTACTATAACTACTATATAAAAGTGTAATAGTAGACTAAAGTAGAAATACTAGAGTACTAGTAGTAGATAGAATAATAGCACTAAGCTAATACTAATTATAGGCGCGCAAGTAGGTAGTAGGGGCAAGTAGAGTAATAGTATTATTAGTTTAAGCCCTTAATATAAGATTCTTAAAATAATAGTAGAGCTAGTAGAACTATAGTATAAACTAGTAATAGGTGCCTTTAGTAGGTTTCTCTATAAAAGTACTAAGGGTCCCTTTCTTTATAATATAAAGGTAATCCTCCTAGTAACTATAATAAAACTAAAGCTAGTTATAGAGAGCTTAGTAAATATTAGGATTATTAGTAAGGATAGCTTCTAACTAAGTATAAGTCTTATAGCTATAATAGTAGGACTTATATAATTGCCCTAGATATAGTTAGAACTTGCTATAAAGAAAATAAAAATTAAGGGGAACTTACTACTACCTTCCTAATAGTTATACTTACTAAAAAGATAAAGCTAGTTAATATACTAATTATAGGGAAGTGGCTTTATAAAGCTACTATTATACTCCTTATTATCTAAGTTACTAGAAATAATAAAGCTACTAAGTAGCTATATTTAAGGAGACGTATGCTAAGTAAAAGTTAGTGCAGGAAATATAGGGAGAATATTAGAAGTACGCACCTTATCTTAGTAGGCCTAGTATAGGGTCTAACTACCTTATAGTAGATCCCTACTACTAGTACTAGTAGTAGTAGATAAGGATATAATAGAGGCTAGATAGGTAGGATTAATATAGAGAGGGTAGAGAGAGGGCTAATTAGTAGGGAAAATCTATTATATAATAAAGTAAGTTTAGGAAATTTATAGTAGGGGGGGGATAGCTATATTAGAACTTTTATCAGTAGGGTGCTAAAATAAGCGTATAGACGCTACGCGCGTGTACTACTTAATATATAGGCCTGTTATAAATTAGGAAGGAATATAAAGATATAATAATAAAACCTAAGAATATATAGAAATAAAGCCTAAAATAGATTATAGGGTACAAAGATATAACCCTAGACCCCTAGAAAGATAATTTTATAATAGTTTATAGGGAAGGTTAGGGGTATATAAAGGGCTTAGGCTTATACCTAAGCCTAGGTTTAACACAAGATAGACTAAGTCTAACACTACTACTAAGTAAACATATTACACACCTATAAAAAGGCGCAGAGGGCTTACCTCTCCTTTAAGATACTAAATACTATTATTAACGCTTATTGCATTCTCCCTTAAGGCTAGTCTATAACAATTATTACCCCTAGACACTAGTAGGCTTAGAATAATATTAGTAAGAGATAGTAGGAGGGTTAGGTTATATATGCCTTAATATAGACTACTAACTAGAAGTTCTAGATATATAATATACGCGGCGTTAGTAAATAACTAGAATACTACTTAATTTCTAATATCTTTATAGCGCTTATAATTAGCAAAGTTAATATTATTATAAATAATAACTACCTATAGATCTAATATACTAGCGCGTAATTTAGACTATACTATATATTAGTACGTGCTATAGGTACACGTTTATAGTTATAAAGAAGAAGAGGCAAGGCTTGCTAGTAGGTAGGCTTGTTAGTTAGCCTAGGAGGTTACAGAAGTTTAGAGGAGGTAAGGCTTACTAGTAGGTAGGCTAGTTAGTTAGCCTAGGAGGTTGTAGAAGTTTATAGAAGTTTAGAGGAGGCAAGGCTTAGTAGGCTTAGCTAGCCTAGGAAGTTTATAGAAGTTTATAGAAGTTTATAGAAGTTATAGAAGTTTATAAAAGTTTATAGGAGGTTATAGAAGACTAGTAGAGGCTAGCCCTACTAGTAGCTAAGGAATTATATAAGTTAAGAACCTAGCGTTATATATACTATAGCAAAGTTAGCTAGCCTTAAGGCTTAGGTGTTAATATACCTATATAAATATATAAGTCTAAGGCTAGATAATATCTCTATAACTTATTAAGGAACTCTAGAGGCTTAAAAATATAAACCTAAATATATAATAAACGTGTTAGAGCTCTCCTAGGTAAATAAATAGTATAGGATTATAGTAACTAAGAAGAGGCGCTTTATATATATAAGAGTTATATTACTAGCCTAGTATAAGGTTAAAAAGGCACGTTAGTTTTATAAACACCTATAGAGTATATAGTATAAAATAGGAGCGTCTATCTCTATAAGATAAGTTGCACTACTAAAGTTAAAATCCTCTACTAGGGTCCTAGTTATATATACTCTAAAGGGTAGTAACTAGATTAATACGCTTAATTCTTGCTAATACTATATAATAATAGGCTACTCTTTAAATATATCCTTATTATAGAGCTCTAAAAAGATATCCTCTATAATCCTACATTGCTTCTTAATAGTATTATATTATTAACTAGTAGATATAACTAAGTATTTATTATCCCTAATACTAGCAAATATAGATATAAATATCTTAAATAACTACCCTATTTCTCTAAATAATAGGAGGACCTTATTTATCTTTATATCTTTACTTATATAGTAAGTGTAGAAAGAGGATATAAGCTATCTATTAGAGGTAGATCTTTACTATATATAATTAAGGGAGGTACGTTTAATAGGGGTGCTATAATAGCTCTAGTATAGTGTACTAAATTAAGAGTATCCTTATAGTAGCGTAAAGTTAATAAGTAACTAACTAGGTGTCTTACTATCTAGCCTAGGTCTAATAGGGGTAATAGGTATATTAAATATTATTAATTATATAGCATTAGTAATATAATAATATACTATTTCTAGATACACTAAGTAATAGTATATAGTTATAGGGATAGCAAGGGGTAATAAAAGTTATACTATAGAAGATAGGCTATTAGATAGTACTAGTAAGGTAGGAAAATAATATAGTTAAAGATATAATATATAGTATTAAAGGTAGAATCTTAGCTACTAATAAGTTAAAATCACGTATTACTAAACTAAGCCCTAGTTTCCCTTAGACGCTCTAGCTAAAATAGCTATTCTACCCTCCTATTAGCCTAGAAGTTTTTAGAAGATAATTAAATATATTCCTGCCCTCCTATTAGTTTAGAAGTTTATATAAGTTTACTAGCGGCGCGCTTGCGTGCCGCCAGGCCTAAATGGGATAGGCGGAACGCCAAATTTCAGTCAGAGCATCTGATTCATGAGATAACATTATCCCCCCCCCCCAAGCCCGTACTGCTTAGAACGGGCCCTCGATGCATAAGCCATCGTGTACAGAATATATGAATCGTGTCCACTTGGGAGGGGGCCTGCTTATGCAAAAGGATATCCTGCAACGGCGCCTGTGCAGGAGCAAAACTCCATGGTGATAATTGACCGAGATTGGGAGTCGGTGCTTCTTTTAGGGGAAAGTCGGTTACACAGTACGACGCCAGTGTGGTGATCATGGTTCGAGCGTTTTGGTCTCAAAGAGGGGCTTAGCGTGCGGGTGGGCATCAGGGGGTACCGGTAGTCGAGCTATAGGATTGTATACATTCAGCGACGTCCTGCAGGCTTGTAAGTGTAAGCATCTCAGTGTTTGTAGTGTTTGTAGTGTTTTGCTGGGGCACGGGGCAGCGTGCATGTCAGGGGAGAATGAGTTTACCGCTGTGCATACTTTCAACGGTTTCTCAATTCATGGGCGATGGTGATCGTTATTCCACCTGACCTCCGACACACAATGGGAAGGCACACGTCTTGGCAATCGGAGGTCCCGCCACCTTCCTCCGACATTACGGAAGGACATCGCAGTCCACCACTCTCCCCGTTCCAATTACCCATCCACCCCGATATTTCAAACCCGCCGTGATGGAATTGACACGGAACGTCGACACCGCAACTCTTTCTTCTCCAAATCCCACAAATCAATCATCTTTCCTTCTCGGACGAACATGATGCCCAGCCGTGCCATCGTCCACAGGTAGGACCGAGATTGGCGAATCCTTGGTAACGTAGTCGGGCCATGGTACGAAGAAGCTTCGACTGTCGATCCTGTATTATACCGAACCGGATCTCCTGGTAGTATGTATGTAGGCACACGTATAGGTAGCCTACTGTACCCCGGCCTCGTTCCAAACAGCAATAGGTTGGCGTTTCTTGGACGATAGGTACTGTACTATGGGAACTACCAAGGATGGGTACCGGCCGTATCGTGTCGACGATCTTACGATGATTTATTTTCGCGAGCCACCGTTGATGGCTGTCGGGTGGTGAGGCCGAGGCCGAGGCAGCACCTGGTGCATTCATTTGTTGCTAATATTGTAGAATTGGATTGGGGCTGAGTGGAGCCACGTGCTATAGTGTGTAGAGAAGAAAGAAAGAAAAAATACGAGCTGTGTGACGGTGGTATGGCTGGGTGGCTTGTGTTGGTGTTGACGTTGAAGTTGCATCGAGTTTGAGTTGGTGCGGTCACTTTGCCTGGACAGACTGGTCGCGGGTTTCATACCATGCGTCGCGAACCAGTGTGATCTGTTGTGGCCCTTCTCTAAGCCTCTCCCACTCGTGGAAGCCTTGTCTCGTAGTCCCAAGTAGGCAGACTGGAAATCCGACCGTCTACGTAGGCCTACCTACATGGCATACTGCGAGAATGCGCAGTGGAGATGACACGGACCCATAATGTAGATGACACAAACTTTGCACTCGACAAAGAATCATCATCGGTTTATCATTGGGGTTGTATAGCCATGCCGTTCTGCCTTGCCAAGCAGGACTAGCAAGGTTTCTTGCGGGAGGGGACGCCGAAATCTTGTTGGGGTTTCTATCTATACTCGCCTATGGCATTTATATGTGCCATGGCTGCGTAGGTATCGTATCGTGTCTTTGCAGATGCGTGTCTGTTCCCATTCAGCTCGTGGCCCTAGCTGTCGAATAGCCGATACGAAGTCCTACACGACTGGCATCTCCAAAAGAAAGCCCAACACACAGAAAGAAAGGAGGCCGAGTCGTACAAAGGGACCGGGTCATGGAAAAATACAATGGCGACGTGGTCTCTCCTCAGTACGCGGTCGGTACTTGATGAAGGAGCAGATGCATCATGCAAAAAGTCCCATTCCCATCAAGAGCTGAGAATAGAGCGAAAAACATCCGAGTCTGTCTGAAACAAGCAGTTGTCTGTGGTTGCCTGATACCGTCTGTGCTTTGTTCAACGTCGCTGTCAATTGACCCAGCTCTTGGGGATTTTCGAGATTGTCTGTGGATGTGGCTGTGTGGCCGAGGGTGTGATGGTACTATAGACTCTCCAAGCATGCCAGAGCAGAGATTACCGTGGTATAGGTATGGGAAGATGCCCCACTCGTCTCCAGAGTCTACCGGTACCGTATTGTACATGAGTGGTTGATTGGGTTATTGCCTATATCAGCTTCAGCCTTGTACCGGTACAGTGCCTCCTGTATACTACCGTACAACCCCACCCCTCACTCGTTTGCTTGCTGTACCGGTACCGCTACCTGCTCTGATCATGCGGCACATGGCTGCATATACCACAGTACTTGACTAGCGAACAGTAGCAAGCAATCTGTAGCAGCATAGCAAGCGGACTGGCTTGGTGTCGGGCCGGGCCAGGCCAAGGGTAATGTTGCTATTTCTAGTAGTCATCATGCACGATGATTCTACTAGGCTAGGTGGATTGCAGCCAGCACAAGGGTTTTTTATTTCCCCGACGAAGTTGTGAAAGACTTGGCCCTGGGCCTGTCCGTTTTCTCAGTCGATTGGGTTACTTTGGCACGCGCTATGAGGAAACAAAAGAAGCCTTGTTCTACGCATTCATGGGCTCGAATTGTTGGCTGGGTACATGTGTCGTCTTATGCAATCCCCATGACCAACGGTTGGACCGTCGTTTGTTCGTCCAGTGTGTGCTGTGATTCGGCTCCATTTCCATGACAGCTCTCGGAGCCCGTTCAGTTCACGAGGTGCATCGATATCATGTCGAGGTATTGACGTTTTCGTGTTGTGTTATCAGAGGCTACTCTAGCATACGACCTTGCGCTTGGAACACGATGGATGTGTCTGGTGAAGCGTGACGGGCAAGAAAGAGGAGCAGCCTCGTCGTGTAATGTGCGGTAATGTACCGGTGCCCTTGCCCGGTGCACCACCACTTTGCCGCCGTCTCACTCACCCTGCCAACGCCTCCCAGTGCCTCCACAGCCATGCCGTCACCGTCGCTCCCTTCTCTCCTCGCTAGGCCGTCGACAGAATGAATCCTTCGCGCCCCTTCAGCCCTTTTAGCCGCGCCGCCCAGAACACCTTTCGCAACCCGCTCGACTTTCTCGGCAACCTGTCGCGCGCCGCTGTACAGCAGCAGCAGCAGCAGCAGCAGCAGCAGCAGCGACTCCCGAGTGACAACAAGAGGAAGAAGCGCAACAGCAACCATCTATCGCGTCGCAATCCCAGCCTCAGCTCGCTCGACGATACGGACCACTCGGACGTGGAGCAGTACGCCCAGATGGAGGCCAGGCGCAGTCACTCGACGCACAACTCGCAGTCGGAGCTGCATCCCCCCTCGATCCCCTTGATCGACTTTGGCAGTCGCAGCACCAGCCCTTATCCGCGCAACCGCAGTGCTGCTCAGAGCGAGGACGACGACGAGGACGACTTCGAGGCCGTCAGCAGCTTACGGCCATTGGTCACCCATCATGGCAGCAAAGGAAGCCATGCGTGGAGGGGCTTCTGGCGACAGGGCGGGCCAGCCGCCTTTTTCTTTGGCACCTGGCTCGGCTGGCAGGTGTGGGTGGCCCTGCTGGTCTTCTGGGTAGGCGGCTGTGGCTTTGGCCTGCTGCTGATGAACCGCTTCATCATGTTGACGGGCATCTACAAGTGAGTCTTGTTTGTTGCTGTGAAGACGCTCCATGTTGCCAGACACCAACTGATACAATCCTTGCTCTCTAGGCTGACCTACCCGCTCACCGAGACATACGTCCAGCTCCTCATCACCCACCTCCTCCTCATCTTCGTCTCGAGCCTCCTCCGCTTCCTCGGTAACCCCCTCCGCTTCATAGGCTTCGCTGCGGCCATACCACCCTCCCAGCCTGCAGCGCCGCAAGGGGGAGCTTATCGAGGAAGCCGGAAGCCGGGCATAGCTGCATTCGCTGCTTGGCTATCCAATGGATCAGGGGGCATTGCGGGCGGCGGCCTCTTCGAGTTTGACTGGCAGATTGCCAAGCAGGTGCTCCCACTGGCAGCCCTCTACGCTGCCAAAGTGCTCCTCAGCAACTACTCCTTTGCGTACGACGACCCCTCGTTTTCCCACCACAACCCGCTGACAACGATACTAGCTACGCTCCCCTCCCGACATACCAGCTCGCCCGCATTGGCATCACCCCGCTCGCCCTCGTCTTCTCGTGCGTGCTCCAAAAGGAAAACTTCAGTGGCGGCACCCTCTCCTCTGCCCTCGTCGCCACCCTCAACCTCTTCTTCGCTTCCTACCGCTCCAACATCCGCGTCACATGGGAGTCCGTCGTCGCCGGCGTCTTCTCCTCCATCTTCGTCGCACTCTACCCCATTCTCCTTCTACGCACCTACCGCCTCGTGCTCGCCAGCCTCGTGCCCCAAGGCGACATCCTCTCCGGCTACCCCTCAAGCGCTGAGGAACCCGGCAACAGAGAGGAAACCCGCGCCTTCTACCGCACCCTACACTACACCTCCCTCCTCACCCTCCTCCTCCTCACCCCCATCGTCCTCGTCTCCGGCGAACTGCCCCACATCTACCGCAACATCCCCTTTCTCGACGTCCCCTTTTTCTGGGCCATGATGCTCTTTGGCGGCATGGGCTCCTGGGCCGTCTTTTCTAGCACCCTTTTGCTCGTCAAGGCAACATCCCCTTTTACAGCGACGTTTGTGCATGTGCCCCGCAGTGCGTTTCAGCTCGTCGCGATTAGCTTGTTTAGGGCGCCCGCGCAGACTTGGGTTGCCGTTGTGTTGTGCTGGGTTAGTAGTCTGTGGTTTTTGATCGCGAGGCGGGAGGAGGGGAGGAGTCGGGATCGGTTTCGCTTGGAGGGGCGGTAGATGGTGTTTACTCTTGCATGGTCAATTTTTTCTTCGGGCAAGTTTGATGGAGAACTTGTGCTATTCAGACAACCATTTTCAGTTTTTACCCTTTTCCCACAAATCACATGGAAACATGGACCTTGTTTTTCTTTCTCGCCCATGCCCGCCTTTTTGGTATACAAACAGCATCATGAAATCTGCGAGGCCAGTCCTTGCCGCCATGGAAATCTTCCCTTGTCTTTTTTTAAGGCACTGGGCTGCACTTGGTAAAGCATTTTCCACCTCGCGTCACGTCAAGTCAGGTAGGTGCCCGACTGACATTTTGGTCGCAAATAACATGTGTGTAAAAACTCTGCCTTGTGCTCGGGCGTGTAGGTACTATACAGGGAAAGACTACACGTTGGTCTAGGGAATAGCATCTAAAGGGCTGAAGAAAGTGAGGATGGAGAATGTCCAGTATGCAGAGTACATGTACCAGAAACGAAAGAGCAAAAGGAAATAAAAAAAAACAAGAGCATTGGGAGCATTGTACATTCTCATCCTTCAACCCTTGACTCAACAAATACCTACATATCCAATCACGCGCTCCACGCATCGAGGGAACATAGCCATGGCGTACCCGTATGATACATCATATCCAACCAACCCCACCCAATCTCCCCTCCCAAACAAACACCACCTCACCACCCTCGCCCTCTCACCCTCTCCCCTTCTCCCCCGTCTCACCACCACCCCCCATACTCGCCGCCATCACCACACTCCCCCGCCTACTCTCCCCACCCTTCAAACTATAATACCGCTTCCAAAAGCTCTCCCTCGGCCCCTCAAACTGCACGCCTCCAACCCCAGCAGATGCACCCGCACACACCGCCCCCGGCCCCGCACTCGCCCCTGCAGTCTTCCCTGAAAACGGCACAGGCAGTGTAATCCCGAGTCCCAGCCCCGCAGCCCGCGAACTGCGTGTCGCAGTAGCAGGCGTCGCAGTAGGCGCAACACCAGATTGCGGATTCAGTTTTGCGCTGCGGCGTAGCTGCATGAGACTTCGTTTTTTCTTGGGGGCGGCGGGGCTGCGGTGCGTGGTGAGGGTGGTGAGGGCGGTGGAGGTGGATGAGGGGGTGGGGTGGAGGGGGGAGATGGGGGAAG